GTAGGATTAGAATCTCTCGCTTCGCTTTGGGACAGTGGAATGCTGTGGAGACCGCAGGATAGTCCAGTTGATTCTGCTCTAAGCTTCCCAGGCCAGACTCTCTCTCCAGCTCACGGCTCGATTTCCCTAGCTGGACAAGTCCTTTCTGGTGCTCCCTCTCCCTTCCCAGTCATGCCTTTTCTTCACGCCCATTTGGCCAGTATGCAGGGTCCGGCAGAAGTAATGCCTGTTTGAGTGTGGTTGGTAGGATAAAGAATATGGGTGTAATAATGTATAGTTTTAATTTGACTATTTCACCTAAAAGGTCACGTGGTGTGCTTGAGTGTGATATTGTTGTTACAGAATTACATGCTTATGATTTTGTAATAAAAAAGGGGTGTTACTTGTGCCGGACCCCGTATACTAAGTGTATGTATCTGTGTCCTTTCTGCAAAATCTGTAGGAATTTATGAATCCAATGAAGAATGTGGGGACCATCCACAAGCCTGGTGAATATCATGAGACCTGGGTGGGTCGGGGGGCCAGCACTTTGTCATCCCCACGGCCACATTCTCTGCTTTGGCGCCATGCCTTGATCAGGCAGGCACAAGGGGTGACGCTCCTAGGGAAGGGCTGAATCCTGCTCCCGAATAGAAACAGTTACCCCTGACTCAGAATTTTCCACAGAGGGCGCCTTTGGCATTTCCAGTTGTCCCCTAGAAATGCTGAAGTAAAATATCAGGAGGACATCTTCCATGTTGTGTCTCAGACTCTGATAGTACTTTATTTTAAATTAGTAACAGGGACGAATATTTGACATTTAAGCACAAAACCTGGAAATTTTAGACATCTGTTTTTGAAAGGACCCCACTTGTTCATAGTGGTGGCAGTTTGCTGCCTTTTCTCTCTTTTTGTCCTGGTGCCTGATGACTTACAGGATTTGATAAAAAATGAGACTTTTTTGCTCATTTTACCCTGAGAGGAGGTCTGCATGTGAATTAAACCACAGTTAACGGGAAATTAAAGATTTTTCAATTCAGATTTACTGCTTGTGAATTCAAATGACAGCCATTAAATAATGATCTTGGGGTTAGATATCCACAGTGGAATAATTTGGCTTCTGGGTGAATTTCATGATTTATTTCCATTTCTGGTGACAGTGTTCCAAACAAAGGTGCCTGTTGCCAGAGCTAATTTCTAATGGGTACTCATTCTATTTGGAATCTAGAAGTATTTCCCCTGCTACAGCCTTGTAATTTAATTCCTGATCATATAGATTCTGTAGTAACTAATTATATTTTGGGCTTCATCGGCACGGTGATTGTACAGAAAATAAAGAGTAGGTCAGTGACTGCTTATGATTTTCTGCTAAGTAACTTTTTTAACATTTTAAAAATCAGTTGGGCCTCCATCGATCAAGTATTCAGTGATGTAAGGAAAGAAGCAAACTCTAGCCATGTAGCTCTGGCATGTCAGGCACTGTGCTAAGCATTTTAGGTACGTAATCTCATTTAATCTTCACGATGGCTTTTAAAGGTCAATATTATCGTTCCTTTTTTAAAGATTAGGAAATTGATGCTTAGTAAGAAAGTTTAAATAACTCTCTGGAGGTCACACAGCTGGAATCTGGTAGAGCCGGGGGAGCGCAACTTGTCCATCTGGCTTCAAAGCCCAGTGAAAAATCTGTCTCTTCTTGGGTTGGAATAAGCCTCCCAAACAATCAAAATATGTTTTAGTAGACTCTTTATGCCTTGGCAGATTTACTGCCATTAAAGGATTAAATAGCTTCTTGCCCCCCCTCCACACTTCAAGTGGAAAGATTGAGGCTGAAAGTAGATGATTGCTGTATTTCATTGTGATCGAGGTGTATGTAATTCTTAGACCACAAATTTTTCCAGTTACCTAAGGCTATTTAAAAGTAATACCCTGCTTCCCAGCGTTATCTGTATTCCTATTAATTATATTCACACTCAACCCGGAGAACCTTGACAAGCCACTCTGGCCTTGCAGGATAATGTGTCTACCCTGACTCCCGCCCTGCTCCCCAACCTTTTTGCGATTTGTAAAATTACAACCATTAACGTTGAAGAGTTGTTAGCACGGTGACTGCTACCCAAGGCGGGAGGCCAAGACAACCTCGACCATCCTGACTGCTTGGGTTCCTTGCACACTGTTGCGCGTCTCTCTGTCTTCCCAAATCCTGCTCAGGCCTCACTTCTTTCACCGACTCAACTCGATCTTTTTGTTCCTCACTTCTTTGGCATTTTCCGGTTGTATTTCCAAATTAGTACCTTGTTATGCGCTTCCTTACTCAGAGAGGAGAGAGGGGTCGGGGGTTGGGGGTGGGGGGAGAGTGTCTCTTTCTGTCTCAGTGTCTGTGCGTCTTATATCCTTAGCATAAGCATCTAGGGTGAAACACATATTTCTCCTTGTAGATATTGGCACATAGTAGGCATTCAGTAAATATTTGATAATTGGCATGCAGAACTGGCATGAACCCAACATATTACCTAACTGCGTTTTCTTAAGTTGAAATGAGGTATAGGAACACTGAGAATGTAAATTTTATGTAGAATTTTAAAATGTTTGGATAGATAATACATTCCCATGGTTCAAAATGAAAGAATGTAAAAATAAACTATACAGTGAAAACGCTCCCTCCCCGTCTGCCCCTCCAGTCTCATTCCCTGTTTCTGTACAAATATCAGCTTTTTCAAGTTTTGTGTATATCCTTCTAGAGTACTTTTGTGTTTTGAATAAGTAAGAATAAAAATACTCGTTTCCCACATTTTGATGCAACTTTACATATTATAGAATAATTCTGCACCTTGCCTTTTTCACTTAACTATGTAGTTTTAGACCTTTTTTCCCCAGACCCACTCAGGGGGCCTTTCTCATTATCCTCTTGTGGCTTGGCAATATCCCATTATGTAGTAATACCATATTTTACTTAACCCATCTGTACTGATGGACGTTTGGGTTGTTTCTCATACTTCGCCATTAAACATACTGCTGTGGTGACTAGTGGGGACATATGTCATTTCACTTGGGTGCAGGGGTATTGGGGAATACTTTCCGAAACAGGGCATCACTGGATCACGGAGAGGTGCATTTGTAACTGCAACAGGTACTGACGAGTGTCCTCATCACAGGTGTTCCTGCCTAATGCTCCCACAAAGCTGTGTCTTTACGGTCCTGTTAACAGGTTGTGTACTCAGACTTTTGGATTTTTGCCAATCTGATGAGTGAAAGATAGTATCTAAATGTGGCTCGAGTTTACATTTATCTCATGAGTACAGTTGAAACATGTTTTCATGTGGTTTATGGGCCATTTATCTTTTTTATGAACTGTCTACATCCTGCCCTTAGTTTAGTAGGTTGCTGTTCTTATCACTTTCTAGGAATTATATTCCTAATTGCAAAGTAGAATGATGAGCCTTTTGTCTGTGAAACAAGTTGAAAATATTCTTCCTGGCTTATTGTTTGGCTTTGCTGATAGTGGGAGTAGGTCTTAAATTTTTTTCCATGCAGAAGTGTTCTGTTTTTAGGTAATCAAATTTACTGAGCTTTTCTTTTATGGCTTTTGGATATGGAGGTGTTAGACCTTCTCTGCCCTAAAGCTACATGTTTTCTTCTAGTGCTTTTTGATTTATTTTTTTTCTTGTCTCTTTCATCCATTGGGGGTCTGGAATCTGAAAGATGAATCCAAGTTTGTTTTTCAGGTGGCTGCCCAGTTATTTCAATACTGCTTATTAAAAAATTCCATCTCCACTAAATTGAGATGCCATTTTCACTCTATACTAAGCTGTTGTTTGGATTAGATGTTACCATAGCATAAAATATAAGCTCAACAGTAACAAATGGGGATCAATTGGTGGATAACTTTGTACATTCACTTATGCAGCAGGCACTTATTAAGTACTTAATCAGTTAATCATTATATATTCCCAAGACCTGGCACATAGATGAGTTTGAAAGAATCTTTTGAACGTAGCTGGACAACGAATGTAATCTCAATGCAGTGGACTGAGAGCAGCAGAGAGGCTGAGACAGGGAGAAGCTTTATCCTACAGAGAACACTGAGCTGAGTCTTCAAGGTTCAGCCGAAGTTTGTCGGCGGGGCAGTGGGGGCGGGGCATTCTAGGAGGAGGAGCTAGTAAGTGCCGAGGCGCAGAGACATGAGACCCTGTGCTCTCTGGGGGTACTCTGAGTAGTTCTTCATGGCCATATGTGATGCGGAAGACACAATTGGAGATGAGGCCAGAATGCTAGTTAATGGAAATTCTCTTAGGTGAGGGAGTGTGGGATTTGGGCATGTAGTGTTACTATACCTCCCCCATGACTTTAGCCTTCTAAACAGATGAAGGGGAAAGATTATGGGGGGACCCCCCAAAAACTGGAATTATCTTCTGAAGGGTGGCCCCTTGTGGTACAGGCTTCCCCAGCTAGGTTAGTGTTCCAGGAACCCATCTGTCTCAGTGTACCAGCTGGTGGTGGTGTGAGAAGCTCTGTTTGGCTTCAGTGAATATTTTTGAAGACTCTTTCAATGCATTTGCCTATTGATTTACAACTGCACCTGCTCATACTTGCGCTAAGTGTTCAGCAGTTTTTGACCAAAAATGGCATGACCCCTGTGTCCCACCCTCCCTGTTCACCAGATTTTGCCCTGAGTGACTCTTTTTTTGTTTCCCTGGGTGAAATAAGCCCTTAAAGGGAAACAGTTTACCAATGTGGAAGAGGTGAAAAAAAAAATGGCAGAAGCACTAAAAGGCATCAAAATCGACAAGTTCAAAAACTGTTTTGAGCCGTGGGAAAAACATCTCTGTAGGTGTATTGCATCAAATGGAGAGTACTTTAAAGGTGACTGAAGTTTAAGCATGTAAGAATACACAGTTTTTTATTTTAAGAAATTCTGGGTTTTTGGGGTTGCCCTTGTAAGAGGCCCAAAATAAATGGAAGCCAACACTTAGCAGTGTTCTGTAGGTCGGTTGTTGAGTTTTGACACCTGTTGCTTATTCTAGACTACTCCAAGCTCCCGAAGCCGAAGTCTCACTTTGCTCCCCCATGGAACACCCAATTCTGCGTCTCCCTGTAGCCAGAGACACCTCGGTGCGGGGGCCCCCGGTGTTGTCACAATCACGCATCACAAGTCGCCTGCAGCTGCCCGAAGAGTCAAGAGTCAGTATTCCGGCCAGCTTCACGAAGTCAGAGAGGTAGGCTCCGCTCTCCTACTAGGTTAAGTGGTCCATGGGATTTGAGGGCTGACTCTTTCTCTACCAAGTTCTCTTCCTTTGTACCATGTTGATAATAAAGAGAGAGGACCAGCAGCAAATGTCCCATCCACACAGACGTGACAATCCCTCCTGGTTTAAAAAATTAATTATTTCAGTGTTGTTTAGGTTGAGTTGTTAGGAGACCTCTGCCAGAACTCAAAAAGCAGGGAAAGCAAGCCCATGGAAACACGGATGTAAACAGAAGTACAACCAAAGTCCCATGCTCGTAGCAAAGAATAGATAGTACAAAATACTGCGCAAGCAGGAAAGAGTTGAGGGTATGTTGAAACTCAGGAAGTGTTAGTCCTAAAGCTGATTTCCCCGCTTTTCTGCCCTGCTTCTCTGTGTGACGTGCTTACCCCCTCCTTCCCATTATAGACACACTGCAGGGGTAAGGAAAAGATCATTGTCCCTGGAGCCAGAAGCCTCTGTTGTTTGAGAGCAAATCTTTTAACAGCTTTAAACCTGAGTTTCTGCATCTGTAAAATGGGGACAGCCCTGCCTGTACCGGCCTCACAGGGGAGACTCGAGGTGCAGCTGTGCTCGTGCATGTGAAAGCCTTTCAGCTGGGGGCGCCTCGTGAACGCATGGGGTTGGGTTTCGTTTTACTTGGATAACCTGGGAAGTCATCGGCTTGTGGACCCCAGATTCTTATCAGCCTTGGCAACTAGTATCAAGAACGGACTGTATAAAACAAATGATGCTGGTATTGTTGGCCTAACTTCTGTTGGGTGCTGAGGCTTATTGCCTGCAGCTGACTTGTGTGTGGGCCTGCTTGTCCTCTCAGAGAAGTAGCCTGTCTCCTGTGTCAGGAAAGCGATGGGGACTCCCAGAGTAGGGTCTTGCTGCCCCTTGAGCCAGCCTGCGTTATCTTATATTTTAAATGCTGTGAGCCAGGTTGTATTGTGTCAATTGGTCTGATTATGGCCCAGAGAAGAAAATCAGAAATTCCCTGAATCATATTTATAGATGCAAATCGAATACATTTAAATAGATTTACATATGTATTTACTCTTTATTGTCTAATTAAGAAAAGGTGCCGAGTTATATGCTCCCTTTGAAATAGTAACCCTGATGTTAAAAAAAAGTATTTGGCTATGAGTTTACTTTTGCTGCATTGGATGATATGAAGCATGGTTGTGCATATGTATTTATTGCTTTTCACTTTTCATAGCACCTTTTCAAAAATGTATTATGGAAAAATTTTGAATGTACAAGAAGTAGACCAGAATAATGATACCCATCACCCAACTCAACACTTCAACTATTTTGTTCTTATTTCATCTATTTCCCCTCACTACTTTTTTTGTTACTAGAGTATTTTAAGCAGATCTTAAATATTTTATCATTTTAGCATTGCCAGTAAGTGCTTCAATATATATCTAACAGATAAAGACTTAAACAACTTAGCCACAATACCATCACGTCACTTTAATGTAAACTTTATTGCAGATACATTTTTGCAAGTACTTTAGAGACTATAACCTTAGAGAAAAGGGAAGAAAAAAGGCAAGTTGAAAGTTCTTGGTATTTTGAGAATTCTTTTAATTCTATAATAATTTCTGATAGACTTACTGTTATTGTGATGATAGGAAGCCTCCTACATATGAGGGGAAAAAGGATGCTTGTGTTTAGTGAGCAGTGACCTAAATAAAAGTTGAGGTACTTCAGTTTGGTCTTTAGTAGCACTTGATGCCAAAATCTTGTTTACCTGTTTTTTTAAAAAGTCTAGTTTTAAAAAGAATAAAAGTATGCCTTTTGTGTATGCATGTATAAAATGTTAATCATATAAAGTATATAATGCAAGTATACATTGCAAAAGAAGTCTAAAGAAGAAAATCAGAATTACCCATAATGCTCCCTTCCTTCAGATGACCACTATTAATATTTCCGTGAATTCACTTCTGGAATTCTTTTTTTCTTCTGTGTTAGTTACATATATAGATTATTAGTTACATATATAGCTATGTAAAAGATTATGTTGTATAACCTAAACTTTGTAAACAGTTAATACATATATGCTCCTTTTTTTGTTTTCTCTTTATTCTCTGTCGTTGGGCAGGGGGATTGTTATAATTTCCCAGAGAGTCTCAATAATTAGGCAAGAGGTTTCTATAGCCATTTTGATTTTTTTTTTTTTTTGTACTCATAGGCAAGAGGATTTCTCTTTGAGTGATTGCTTTTGTCTGTTGATGACTTTTCTTGCTGAAAATTAAGTTTAAGTGAGCTTTTTGAGAAGTATGTAAAAACATTGGCAACTGAGAGAACCAAAGGAAGAATTGAGAGTTTTTGGTTCTCAGATAATTGTGTCCAGCTTCACTCTGACTGGAGAAGAGTAGCTGTTTTGCGACGTCTGTCATTTTGTGACGTGGACAGGTTTGCCTTGACAACTGTCTGCACAGATTTCCTACCAGAAGGTTTTGCGGTTTAAAAAGTGGATTTTGGAATGTACAGGCTTCCTCTTATTTATCTGTAAAATAACTAGAAGAAAATGGCATGGCATTTTTAACCCAGCTGTACAGGGAAGATAAAGTTAGGCCCAGTGAAGCAATGGAGAAAATCATCGCATACAAGACAGATGTGCCTGAATTCCTGAAGAGTAAGAGAAAAATAGCCCAGCCAAAGGCGATAGAATAAATTTTAAATGGAATGCCATAGCGTGAGTTAAAATAATGGGACCGTTTAAAAGATTAAACGGTTATCATCTAAAATATAAAGAATTGAGATACCAAAGGGCAGTATCCAAAGTCCTTTCTGGACGTGGTTAGGAGAGATGAGTTTAGAGAATTGGAGGCTAGATACCATTGTGAGAACAGGAACATATCCTCACCAGCAATTCAAGAAAGAAAAATTAGGACTACTTTGTCTATTAGATTACTGGAAATAATGATCATCCGTTGTTGGTTGGGGTATTAATAAGTGTCGGCAATGTTGTACATTGTCTTTTTGCTATAGCCTGGTAATAAATAAGAAGAATTAAATACAAAGTAAAGCTGTGTATTACCATTGACTCATAAATCGCCATTAAGAACTATATATATATCCAGAGGAAATAATCTATGAAGGAAGAAAGTTCATTTGGAAAAACTATTCATACTAATAAACAGATCCAATAAAAAACTCATGGGAGTGATTAAATAAATAGTAATATTCTTAACATACTGAATTACTATGTATCGACTTAGGATAAAAGTGCTTGTCAGTATGCCGCGGCTGGGGAGCTCCGCTGGTCGCAGTGTTGACCAGTACACCAAAAGGTTGCAGGTTTGATCCCCAGTCAGGGCATTTACTTAGGTTGTGGGTTCAGTCCCCAGTCAGGGTGCATATGGGAGGCAACTGATCGATGTTTCTCTCTCACATCAGTGTTTCTCTCGCGCTCTCTCTCCCCTCCTTCATCACTCTAAAATCAATAAAACATATCCTTGGGTGAGAATAAAAGAAAAAAAAGTTCTGCCAGTATTAGTAGTACATGGGCATGTGTAAGTGAAAGAAGAAAATCACGGGACAGAGTAAGATGCACACATTGGACCCCAGGTCCATCTTAATATAGTTTAGAAATAATTTAAAACAGGGTTCCAGACTTTTGGAATTTTCCTGCAAATTAAAATTTAGAATTTTGGGAGCAATGTAAGTGTTGCAAATTTTTTTGCCCAGTGAGAACATTTTTTTAAGTGTAGGGCACATTGAATGCCTCCTCTCCCAACCAAAGCAATATAATCTCAGAGTAAAGAGCTGTTTATTGCATGGAATAAACTTAGTTTTATTTACTACGTACTTTATTTTCCTTGTTTTACTATCTTATCTTGGATGAAGAGACTTCATCCTGGATTGATCATGACCTATGACTCTGTTTCTTTAAACCACAGAATACCACTGTTCTTTTCCGTTTGTTTTTGCTTTTTAAGCATATTTTATTGACTATGCTTTACAGTTGTCCCATACCACTGATTTTTAACTTCCGAGCGACTTTTCCTGCAGCCCGTCTTCTCCATTGCCAGCTTTTCTTCTTTTTGGTTCATGCCCTACCTTCGCTCGAGGAAGCCACCCTCCTGGATGAAAGCTTTTCGTCCTCTCTGCCTTACTCCCTGCTGCCCACAGGATAGAGGCTGAACTCCTGAGCATGGCAAAGGAGGCCTTCCATCGTCAGTCTCTACATCCCTCGCCTCGCCTGCTGACCTTGTCATTCCTCCTGGACCCCACCGTGGGTTTGCTGCCTCCCTCTGTTGGGAGGCCCCTGGCTCAGCGGAACTTGCCGCTGTGATGGAAATGATAACCTTGCTCTCCACGAGGGTAGTTAGATGGGGCCAGTGAGCTCTTCAGATGTGCTCGTCTGAATTGAGATGTCTTGTAGGTGGAAAACAGGCACTCGATTTCAAAGATTTAGTTCAAAAAAGTAAAATGTTTCATTAATAATGTTTTATAATACTCATTACATGTGGAAATGAAAATACTTTATGTTGGGTTAAATTAAACATATGAATGTCACTTGTTTCTTTTACCTTTTTAACTGTGCCTGTAGAAAATTAAAAATCCTATATGTGCCTCCCATTTGTAGCTTGCATTGTATTTCTCTTGGGCAGCACTACTCCGGACTGTGAACTTGCTTACTCAGTGATTCCATTTGCCAGGTATTCATTGAGCACCTACTATGTGCCAGACACTGGATTTTTATGTTGAAAGCCATGTCTCATTCATCTTTGCATCTTTTAGCCCTGGTTCAATTGCTGGACATGCTGGTTAAACATATTGATTGAAGGACTCGTTTTCTATCAGTCCTTCAATATATTTCTAGCAGTCAGAGCGCTTTAGAAATAGAATGTGGAGGCATTCAAGGGTTGTTAGGGTAATTATATGGGGTGATTATGAGTGAGGGGAAATCTGGCTATTGGCTGAGTCAGCTGGTGTCTTCTGACTCCAGTGGCACTGGGTGAGTGGACACC